ATTAGCTATTGTTATGGTTGTTTTGTGTTCTCTGATAATGCAAACATTGTAAGTAAAGAAAAATGTTTGACAAAACTTTAAGTTTAAATACACTGGCAGAAATTGTAACAACTATTAAAACTGAACCCGGATCTGCAACTGAAAACGTGCTGCTCTTCAAAAGGTGGAAGTAGATGGAGGCAGCATCTTAGGTATATGTAGAATAGAATAGCAACACTTCCATTATTCAAAAGGTTTATCATAACAAACCGTAACGATATCCATTTAGCCCATAACACAGAAGAGTCTTTTCTTGTTATTTCTTCATTTAAGAGCTGCTGACATAACATTTCGCATGGCCATGATTTATGCAAAATCCAAATGCGTACAAACGGACAGGCTTATCTCAATGAGCTGCTGCCGATGGCCATGGGTCCGCCTGGCTAACCACGCAGCCAACTTTTGGCTTTAGCTTTGGCTTTGGCTTTGGCCATATGCGTGCAGCTTTGGCTGTAGCCACAACACCAACTATAACAACAACAACAACAGCCACGACACAACAGCGATATTGATAGGCGCAATTAATTATACGCGCCTCACACTGACAGTAAGCGTTTTGCTTTGGTCGCACCGTGCGGCACCGCGTTTGCCCTCACACCACTTTGCCCCCCTTTTTACTCTTCTTCTTTCCCAGCCGAATGCGGTTGGCGGTTCGGACGTCGTCGCACGTATCAATGACCAAATGACATATTAGCCTTCGTCTTAGTGTAAAAAGCCGCGATAACTTTGGCAGACGCACACGCAACGTGGCGGCGAGCGGCCAACAATACTAGCAACAGCAAGAGCAGCAACAACAATGCCTCTGTCTCTGCCTCTAAGAACTGGGCGGTCAGCTAATCGTTTATTGAACCCGTCTGAAAAATAATGCGCATACGCAGCGTGCACCATGCAGCGTTGTGTTTAGCGTTTTGTGGCCGCTTTGGTTAGCCAAGTGCTGCATTTCCAACTGTGCCGCACCGCTGGCCCGCTGCTCGCGTTGAGTGCTCCAAATTACTACCAAATGGCACCGGAACCCCATAGGGCAGCACTGATTAGCAGCCCAAATATGGGCAACTATGTCTGTATGTGTGCGTGTGTGTAATAAACATAAATGCATATAAGTAGGAAGTTTATGTGCACGTTTCGTTTGAAATATGAGCAGCTAAGCGACTTTATCACAGGGTTAGAGACAACGACAGAGACAGGAACAGGGATAGGGCCAGAGACAAGGTTTGTGGTAGGAGAACTGTCACTGGCGCCATTACAGCGCTTCTCATGAACTGCGGCCATGTCAAGAGAACAGAATGTAACTCCCACGCTATAAAGCAGCTCGTTTAGCGCATTTGTCACGTATTTGTTGTTGTTGGTGTTGGTTACTTCTAGCCACAGTTGCAGTTATTTACGAGCGCGCAGCGTGTTGTGTGCTGCCTAGAATTATGATGGTTTCAGGAGCAGACAAAACAAACAAACCACCATGACGACAGCCACTGATAAGTGCATGATATAATAAATATATATATATGCTTATATAGATAGTTCCTATGGGTCTTTAAGTACGTTTGCTTGTATTCAATTCAATCGAGTTAACGCACTTCCTGCTCATAAACGAATGTTATTGCAAATTGTCAGTTACTACTGTGCAATCAGGCACAACAATAGCAGCAGCAGCAGCAACAGTAACAGCAGCAACAATTGCAACTGCAACAACAATGCTTATTGCATTGCCATAGAGCCAGCTTCTCCAGAACCCTCTCCAACTGATTTGCTAAACAATTACGAGTACGTATACGCTCTCTGGCAGTGCTGCAAATAGGCTGTACAAGCACTTAAGATAAAAATCTTAATAGAATTGCAAGGCGCATTGCAATACAAATACTTGTAGAAATACAAATACATGGGCAAAAATATATATGTGTGTATAAAAAAAAAGAGTAAAATATAAAAGCAATGGAGCACCGCTAGTTGTTGTTGGGGAGCTGAGACCTAATGATATTTATCAGCGATTTATACAATTTCCATGGGGCATCATCATATTTACAAGTTAATATTTGCGCTAACAAGATTTGCCTGGGCCCCACAATGCCAACAACAAAGCTGGCGATCAGCCAGCCATTGGCTTGTCTGAGCCGTCTCTGCCTTGTGCAAGGAATCCCACACAAAAGGATCGCATCTACGGCAATGGCATCTACGGGCGAGAGAGCGACATGAGTAGACAAGCAAAATGCTTGTTAAGGCACAAAACATGCAGATTTCATTAAAGATATCGCGATACTGTGACTGCGCCTGCGACTGCGACTGCAGTCGTTGTTGAAGGGCGCACAGACCAGGGCCACTTTGCATGTGGCACCACCAGCGGATGTGGTTGTGTCTGTGCCAGTGCCAGCGCTTGGTGGTGCTATATGCACTGCGATCTGACCGTTTTTTGATGCGTAAATGAAGTGCAAGACGTGACGTTCCAATACGAGTTCTAATAAGGGACAGGACTGCGACTGCGACTGCGACCGACTGTGGCCTAATAGTTGAGGTAATAAAATGGCAATTAAGTGTCTTTATGGTCCGGAGTTGGCCTGGTCCATAGCCGCTGGACATCCTTTTATGCGTAGCAATAAAAATACTTGTTTACCCATGTAACAACAACTTCATACGAAGGAGCCCCGGCTTTTCGGCATATACTTTTTAGGGCTTGTCTGCTAGCATGGCTTGTTTATGCTTATTGTACGCATAAGTTTGTGCTATTTTATAGTTTTATGGCTTACACATGTCCAACGAATTCGTAGGTGGGCAGGCGTTGCCCAGTTTACGTTTATTGATTTTAAGTGTGAGTTTATGTTGTGTCCCGGAGCCCGATCGCGGCCGATGAGTGCAGCATGTCCATAACCATAGAATGATGCGAATGCAACGCTTTCCATTCGCTCTGCATGTCAAGCTCATAAGCAGCGCACACAATTAACGTGCTCGGCGCGGCAGAGTGGGAACGAGACGAGTGGAGTCATGCTGTGCCTGGTAATGAAAGGAATCAGACGCGGGCTTCCATTTCCATTTGGGCAGCATAACAAAAGCGGCGTTAAGATTAACGCAAATCAAGCAACGGGCGGGCATATTTAGACTCGTTCTGCTTAAATGGAAAACAAGAGCGACACATTATGACTGCCGCCGGGACCAAGTGGTTAACTTGGCTATATAAACATTATTACAAACAATCCGAATTTATTATCCACAATACGAAAATTGTAATTTCGTTAATTTATTTAGTATTCAGTGGCCACAGTTTATGGATGATGTCCATATATACCTTTAAATACAACACAATTCTTTAAGCATTTCCCAAAGTGGCAATAATGTGTACAGAAGAAAAACCAATTTAAATGTAGGAAAATTTTGAAAAGAAAAATTTTGCACTTTCTACTTTAGCTAATGGATGCACTATCAACTTGTAGATGGCTATCTGCGTAGTTTCCATAATGGGAATTTTATTAACTCGTTTATTAGTTTAGCTTAGAAAAAACACAATAAAATTTTTAACTAGAGCAAAATTAATCGTTTAAACGGAAATCGCTCAGCCGATACGTGGGCTAAGTAAATTTCATTTGAATTTATTGAAAAACATACTAAAAATCGCAATAAAGTGCACTGCCTTTGCCCATACATCAAGTCATCTTTTGTGAGTCATGTCTTGGTAAAAACAACAAAATCGCTTCACTGGGCGTATGCGTAATGTTATTGAGCATTTAGCTGTTTGCTTTTACAGTTGCGCTGCTCTCTGCGAGCAAAGCTGGTTCTGATCTGGTGCGGTGACAGAAGCGCCGCAAATTCACGTCACATGGCGAGTCAGTTGGCACTTTATGGGCCGTCTTTATCTGCGCTGTCATTTATGGTTATTTAAAAGTGTTAGTTATCATTGTTATTGTTGTTGTTGCTGGCTGTTGTTCTCTGGCTGTTGTCTCTGGTTGTTGTCTCTGGTTTCGAGAGTTGAGCGCACAAAAAAAAAGTTGATTTCACCTTTTACGCTTAACTCGTTTAGAAATTAATGCGAATTCGATTTTGAAATGTGTTTGGCGAGTTTGACGATTTGAGTCACAGAAATTTCGCAAGAATCCGCAGCCATAGCCATAGTGCAATAGCTGAAGAATATTTACGTATATATCGTGCTTAGCAAACAGTTGGGGAGCAACAGAAGCTGCAGCTACAACTCGTCGGCATTGGCGCTGCATATTTGCATAAGAATTAGAAAACCCGCAGCGCGACAACGCGAGGCACGCAGAAATCTTGTACGGCATGGGGCGGCCATATAGAGTCGGCGGCCAACCAAAATAACTCTCGTGTCTACACCTTCAACAGCAAGAGCAACAGCAACAGCAGCAACGACAACGACGACGCGAGCAGCAACAAACTGGCCCATCAATGCTGCCAGCGGCAGCAACAACAACAACAGAAACACAAATGGCAACATTAGCGCAAATTTCAACGGCGCACAATTTGAATTTGATTTTGTTGTGCGACACACACATACACATGTGAGAAACACGTTTCTTGTATATATTTATTTTGTTTCGGTTTTTTGGGCATTTTAATATGCATATAGAAGAAAAAAAAAAAACAAAAACGAAACACTCCAGAGGGGCAGGCAGACATTACATTAGCCAGGTCTATCGGGCCTCTGGTCTGCGGACTCGGCCTGGCCAATGACTTCGAAAACATGTGTTGATTAACATAAATGATTTCTGTCTGCCTCACAGCACGTTGTTGTTGTTGTTGTTGTTGTTGCTGCTGTGTATTTCTTGTCATCTGCTGCTGCTTGCTGCTGTCTTGACTATTTGTAAAATATATATATTTTTGGAAATCTTTATTGCTATTTGGTGTCAAAATGCGAATAGCTATGCTTTGACATCAGCAGCTGGCAAATATTTATTGACTTAATTGGCATATTTGTTCATCATGTTGTGAAAAGTCTTTATGCGTTAATAATGAAAACGGTTACCTACCTTTTTTGGTTGCAATTTTCATGCAAATCTATCAGCTGCGAGCTGCAAAGAGAAAGGTAAAGTTTCTTAGTTTAAACTCAACAACAGTGTGATAAATGATAATTTTTTTGATTTTGTTTTATTTTTTGAGGTTCGCTAGAAATCTTCAATCGAAGGCAATAAACTATTGATAAATATTTGGCTATTAATCTAAGCAAGTGTTGAATATTTGGCTATTAATCTAGGCAAGTGTTGAATGTGTATTTGTCTGTCTATGTAGGTTTCGCGAAATTAGTATGCAGCAAATGTTCGACACCGATCGACTTGTTGGCTAGTTGATTAGGCGACCAGATTGGTTATGCATTAGGGCAAATAATATATGCATGTAGGAAGATAGATATAATAGCTGGCTAGAGATAATTGCCAAATGTATCATCCGACTTGCAGAGCAGCTAGCTCAAATTTTTGCAATTCAATCAGCTGGCATTGGCGCAGTCAACGGAACCAGACGTCATTTGAAATACAAATCGCTACACGTAGCACATCAGGTTTCGCCATGGCCACCAGAGTCTGACATAGTCGGACAGTTCGTCAGTCCGTCTGTCAGTCATTTAAAGCTGTAGAATTTCTAAACTGGTTGAGCGACACAAAAGGCCGGACTGTACGTTCGGTATACTGAATGCAAGTATAACAAATTCCAGTAGGTGCTGAACTGTTTTTACTTTCAAATGCCGCGCATATTTCACAGCCAACTACCACTGACAGCCACTCAGTGGTGCGATGGTCAATGGCCAGCTCCAGTCATTGGTAGCTCTGGATAATTTGCGTGTGTTAATTGAGACTAAATGGCAGCCGACAATTGCTGGGGCCAGCACAGCCGGACGGCGGCCCTAGGTCTTTGATTAATTATGGACAGGCTGTCATAATTTACATCGCAATGGAGGCTAACGGATAGACAAATGGACAGACCCACAAATCGACAGACTGACAGCTGCGCCTGTTAATTTGCTGTAATTGCGATGCACAGGCAAATGCAAGTAAGAGTGCGACATATGTTGAAAGAAAGCCGCGACAATTTGTTATTATAACCCACAAATATCAAATGGCACTTGAGGCGTTTGGCCAAACAGTTGACAAATCATCATCAGATTTACTTTTCAAGAATTAATCCGCCAGCGCGGAAAATAACGCCAACTCACTGCCTAATCAAAAGTAAGAGTAAAGAAATTGTTAATAACGCGCAGCGTCAAGCATCATCATAAACAAATACAAACACAAAGCACAAACACAAATATAAATACAATCAACAATGAAAACAAATAATTGTTGGCTGCGCATTAACCCATATTTTTGGCATTGCCACAGCTGGGGGAGAGTACACGAGAGAGAGAGAGAGAAGTGCCTTGCGTGCCTGAAGCTTATTGATCAGAGCCACGTGATCGAATCAGCAGCAGTCGCAGCAGCAGCAGCAGTTGCTGCAGCAGTTGCAACTACTGACACACCTTTCGTCGCAGACGAGAAACAGCAAAGGCAGCAGAGCTGCAGCAACTGTTGCAATAATGAGCAACTGCCAGGCAGATAAGACAATTGTGTGGGTGCCACAGTTGAAGCCACCTGCATTTGCAGCATTCGCTTGGCTATTTGAAAGCCTGCCAATCAGCTGGTAAACAATACGAAAACCGCTAGGCTACTCTGCCACAGACTGTGGCACAGCGTGTGACTGCCAAAATATTGTGTGCACACGATTTTGTTATGCATTTCAAATGCAAATTGGTTTTGAAAGGTAATTGATCCCAGGCGGCGCAGGCGGCCAATGACAGAATAATTCTGTCCGTTTACTTTCAAATGCAACACAGGAAATACAGAAGAAGAAAAAAACCTAATACAACAGCACACGATTTGTGAACTGATTTTGTATGCCGTCAGCGGAGACAAACAGAAAAACAAATCGAAAAAGAGTAAAAAATTAAATAAACTCTGCACGCGCTATGGCACATTTATAACTTTGAACTTGACGGGGGCCAAGAGATCGAGAGTCTCGCCTGCTCTTTCGTAGCCAACTCGGATTTGTGATATGACAGCGTTAATTGATTTTTCGTTTTCATTAACATTTTTTCGTGTGGCACAGATTTTTCCTTTACATGGATTTTTCTTTTTGTACGCTTCGTTGGGAAATCGAAAACTACTTATCACAGGCAAAGCTCGGCAGAAGAAACCAGCTATCCCAAGTATTTAGTACTCTCTGTAGGCCTGTTGCTAATAGGGTTAAACGGTTCATTACGCATGCACGCAAGCGTTACAAATTAACCCAGTTATTTATGATTATTTAGTTTCTAATTTGGGCAGTATTGAAAAATGATTTATATACAAATGGAATAACAATGGGAGCATAGCTGGAGAATTTCTCACTTTATCTCTTCTAGCAGTTGCCTTCATCAGCTTGACATAGGCGTCTTGCCCCTGAGGCCAGAGTATAGAGAACATCATGTAAATTGCATAATCATTGGGCAGCTGGGCAGCCGCTTGGCCACTCTCTAAAGGCAATAGATAGATAGATTCTGTGCTAGCTAAACTTGTTTTAGAGTTTGACTGGCGTTAGACTGCTCTGCTCCATTTTCCCCTGGTAATTGGCCAGCCAATTGCAATTTGCAATTGTGTTGCCTGCTGCCCCATCCAGATTGATGCCTCAGTTTGATAATGGCCAATGCCAAGGCATGCAATTTTAACGGTTGCATGCTGACCGCTCCAGAAAGAGACAAGCAACGTGGGAGGAAGAGGGGAGGCAGATGCTAATGTGTCGATGATAATTCCCAGTAGTCAAACTGATGTTGTTGCTGCCACAAAGGGGCAACAAACTGAGCCATGACTCAACTGCGTCCAAGCTGCGCCCCATAAAGGTGCAGCGGTCACGTGCTTGGCTCCAAAAGGAAGCCTTCTACTGAAGTTAAATGGCTTTTCGCATTAAATCAGTTTTATTACTCGCAGCATTAAACAATGCATATAAACGAATTTATTTATGATCGTATAAAAGCAAACAAACACAAATTTATTAAACGCGCAATAGGCGTCATAAAATTAGCAAAGACAAAGTGTTATGCGCGACAACTGTTGGCGACAATTAGGCGCATTTTGTTGTCGACACTTTTTCGCCCCTCCACCTGCCCCTGGATCATGCCACGCACCCGGGCCGGACAGCGAACACAGTTGTGGCGGTTGCATTGAATTCCCCAAAAACGAAAATTGTGCAATAACAATTTGAGCTGCACAAAAATGCGCCAGCGACTGGCCAAAAGCAACAAGCTAAACAAGCTAAACAAAGAGACTGCCACAGCGTTTGCCTGGCCAAGTGGCCGGCCAGGGGGCAGCTTTTTATAGCGGTGGGTGGGTGTTGGCGATTGCACACAACATAGCACAAACAAACCACATCGAATTTGTTTCACACAGTTCATTAAGACAAACAAATAAATAAAGTTCAATTGTGAAATCGATGACGATCGAAAATTGTCAACACAACGTCGACAAAACGAGTGCAACAACAATAACAACAATTACAATTTATAGCTAAGCCAAATGAAGGTTAATGGACAGCAAAGTGCAGCTAAAAAATTGTCAAAACTCTAATGAACGTCATGAATGTTTGTATGGAAACGCAGGGGGCGGGGGGTCGAGTTTTGCAATGCAAAATACACACAGTTAATAAATCGATCGAATTTCATTAATTGTAAAACAAAACTGGAAACCAGATGAGCCGCTGGCTTCGGGTTTTCTTTGGTTTATATACCTTGAGGAAGCGTAGACAACAATCAAGCGGAAAATGCGTTGCGAGCTGCAGCTTGGCAGCTTGGCAACTCTGCAACATGGCGACAACTGCATGCCAATGAAAGGCTGCTGCCTGTCTACAATTGCCAAAGACACACACACACACACACACACAAAGATGATGCGTGTGTTGCACCATTGAAGCAGTTACAGATACAGATACAGATACAGACACAGATACAGATACAGCTGGAGCCACAACCATAGATACAGATACGCACTCGCACCGTGCTGGACAGTGTGCTGGCATTGTTGATTGGTAGGCTGTTAGCTGGCGACGTTAATTTCACTTTAACAAACATTTCGCTTGTCTCTCCGCCGACCGCAGTCGAAGACTTTTGCGGCTTTCAGCTTGATGTCTGTTGTCTGCTGTCTGTGACAGATCATATAGAAATGTGTTGCATTTTTAATCAAAACGATCGATCAAACGGTAGTTTTATGTTTGACTGGCACCATGGCACACTCACGTACACCACGCACACACACACACACACACACACACACACACATCTAAATATATGTACTAGGCATATACGCACATATATATTTATGTATGAGGGGCAAGATGTGTACGCACATATGGCGCTCACTGTATGGCGGTCCGCCCGTTGTTTGTCGTTTTGTCCCTCTGTTTATCTAACCGGCTTGTCTGTCCGTCCCGCTGGCAGTTGCTGTGCATGCGAATGCATTGCTTGACATACGATACCCTTCCTTAACCTGGCCTGCATATATGTGTATGTGTGTGTGTGTGCGATTCCATTTCGAATTTGATCGATCGCTGTTGAAAATTTAATTTGGATGCGTTTGCTTTTAAGGAAATGCCTATGGTAGGGGCAGGGATAGGGCTTATATGATCTGCTATCAGCCCAAAAAAAAGTCTCAATTACTTCATTATTTGTGTTGGAAATCTGAGCGTGCAGCTGCCTTGAGAAAAATATTAGACTCAGCTATTAGCTGTAACCTTTTGCCCCTGGACATGCGCAACCCTTAGCCTTGGCACAGTCAACCCTTCAGGCAACCTTGAAGCCAGCTTTGAAAAGCCAAACCGTTTGGATTGCTGTCTTCTATCCACTTAAGTCGCCTGCGCGTTGTTGTCTTTGGAGTATTTATCAACATCATTACGATGAGGCTGCACATTTTCATAAGAACTATTACCGTAACTAAACAAAACTAGACAACGCATGCAGCATGAGGCAGCAATGAGTAATACGTATGACCCCGCGACGCATGCTCCCACCCACCAC